TAGTTCTATTTAGCTCAAACCAGGACAAGTGACATATGTCATGAATTATTAGACTGATTCAAAGTACTGAATAAGATGCTCTGCAAATAACATTAATTTAAAAACTGGAGGTTTCTGACATTACAGCAGTGAACAGTTGGCTCACAAGGGTCCACAGACCTTGTCAGTGATTCAGAGGCATTTTCTTTTTGTACTAGCTACCTTTCTATCCTTACAGTGAAAAAGAGGAGGCAGCTTGCATGCTAGCTATTTTACATTGTGTCTGCTTGGAGCTGCTTTCTGAGGAATACTAGATGTTTTCCTATAGTAATTGATTAGTGGGCATGGTGTGGATACCACAACTAGAGATCCCTGGCCTAGAGCCCTGAGAGAGAAGGAAAGCACAAATATTGTTGGTGCATTCTGACACTGTATGTATACATGGAAGGGAAATCGGAAACTGTCACATTTTATGCAGGTGGAATTTCACAATGGTAGGTAATAGCCATCTTCGGATCCTGCAAATAACATGTGTGATGTTTAAAGCACAAAATATATAGTCATTTATTCAAAATGGCAGGTCTTCAGGTAACTTGGGGCTTTTTGGTGAATGGGGTCACTGATCTATGTGCAGGAAGACTTGGGTAAATAGTCTGGTCATGTCAGTTCCACAGAAGGGTCAGCTGTGAGTTTCTTCACCTGTGGAGTGCTATACATTGCTTCGTTAGGTGGGCTATTCATAACACTAATCTATGCTTAACGGAGAACAGCCCCATTTAAAGGGCTCATGCTTGCTCTGTATTCTCTGAAATGCCATTCTCTTCCTTTGTGTTAATTCAATTACTGTTCCTCAGCAGTGGTCTGCCCCGATAGAAAACTCGCTCAGTTGTCTCTGCCTCCACTTCCTCAAGTGGGAATCTAAGAATAAGATTGATTCTGTTTCCAAGAGGTTATAACTAATTGCTGCATGGTTTCTTTTAAAATTATTCTTCTGAGGGAATTCTCCTTTCTCAGTAACTTAAAAGGAGTGATTTTCTGTTTGGGATAAAATCTGTAGACAGGAAGGTTAAAACGCTTTGTGTAGTGCTGGATGGTAACAAACTAAGTAAACAATAGTAAATTCAAATTATCTTCAGTACAGAGTGAGTTTAATTGGTTGTCAGAACTATGCCAACTACCCACAACTAAAATTTTGTCTCTGACTGCTTATTGTCAGCTGATACCGGTTGATTCCAGACTTCTGTTTCTCAATTCCTGTATATTTCTATGCAATTCCACTCTAAAGGCTTATTTGTTACTGCAGTGGTAGTATTACCTAGTTTAGTATTGTTGACATGGGGAACATTATAAGATTATAATGAAAAAGAGTAAAATCATAAATCATACTGAGAATAAATGGTACACTGCAATATTTTTTCCTGGACTTCACCAATGGTTTGTTTGTCCCTTAACAAGATGAGTGTGCACAAGAGTTTGCTGGGATTCAAACTGCACATGGACTTGGGCAGTGCTACAAGCCCTGCCTTTATGTAGTCTGCAAATAGCAGAGAGACAAAAGAGATCAAGTCTGATTCAAAGCGGGCGATACTTCTTTATTTTAAATAATGTTCTCTCAGACTATTTTTAAGTTGGATAAAATTATTCTGTAATAAATACAAAATTATTATTGTCTTCAAGTCAGCATTATTCTGTATGTTTCTAAAAAGGTAATTGATGTTGTTATAGTGTCTAATGTGAAACATTTCTGATGGATTCTTTGGTCTGTTTGTGGAATAGTGTGGGGAAACCTTGTGTTATAAAACTGTGGCAGGAGAGCAACTATGGTATCCCACAGGATTCATTTTTTGTGTGGCATATTTATGAGCAATTCCATCCTCATTTATGTTATAAAATTAATGTTTAGTTTAAATCATTGCAGCAGCCAAAAGCAGTTTTACTTTCCCTTCCCACATCCTCCAGTACGTACAGGTTTTTGCACTACAGCAAAAACCGTTGTTAGCTATACTTCGGTTTCTGTGCAAACTCAAAAAGAGAGAGGATCAAGAGAGTCTGAAGATAGAAAGAAGGATACAAGAAAGAGTGGCCTTGTAACTGCTGGTAGAAGCACTGTCTTATTCCCACTGGAAGAAATGTGACATAAATTAATGCTCTTAATACAGCAATGACAGCTCATGTAAATGTCTTGGCTTGCCCATGTTTGTACCTGAGGGGAGGGTGTTAGTTTTACCATACAGGGTGGGGTTGATGATTCCTTTTGGTTGAATCTATTTTGCAATATATCATCTGAAAATCAGAGTAGGTAGAGGAGGTCTAAAAAAGTGAAGTGGTGTTTTTAGTTTATAAAAATTATTGGATACATATTTTGAAAGCCCCGTTAAACTTCTCTAGACAGATATGCTCCATTAGGCAGAATGGAAAATAAGGAAAAATTTACCCAATCTCTGTGAAAGCCAGATATAAACTCCAGGACTCATTGTCTTCTGGTTCTTTATCTTAATAACTGTACTGCCTTTTTGCCCTGATTTAGACTGTACAAGCTATATCTTGTTTATTCACACTTTGCTGTCTTTGTTCCTTTTAAGAATAACTTAACCGATTTTCATTATGAAGTATGAAAAAATGTGTAATAGTTATTTTTCTTTGTTGTTCTAGTATTGATATGTTAATCTCTTCTGATAAAGAAAAGGACCCAGGTGTTATTCCTGAAGATAGCAGTCTGCTAACTCTTCGGTATGTTATTACAGTACACTCGCAGTAGCATGATATGATGTGGGATGGAAAACAAGCACAAAAGCATGGCTGGCTGCTTGTCCCTTTTCCAGGCAATGGTGTACTCTCTGAGGCAGTGACCAGAAATACTCTTAAGGGCAGAAACACCAGCTTATGATAGGATAGTTGTATGAGCCTTCTTGAAAATTACTTACAAATTTTTTATTAAGATATTCAGAATATGCCATCTTTCTTATTGGAAGAACTTAAGATTTCTGTACCTAGGTACTTCTGAACTAGCACCTAAATTTGGAGTGTGCAGGGGACTTCTCATAATCATGTATGGGAGGTCTCTCAAAAGCCTTGTGATATAAATTTGTAGGTCTTATGTCTGGTAACCAACAGTCACATTGTAACAGCCGAAGTGTAAGTATTGAAGTTGTAGCCAGATACCTCTTTATCTGAACCAACTCTTTATAAAATTCATTGATAATACCAGTGCATTGAATAATGTATGTTAAGTTTCTATCAGTTAGTGAACTTTGAACTCATACTTGTCCAGTTCAGGCCTTTGCTATACTTGAATTTCAGTTTGCATAGTTCTAATGTAAATAAACGTGTTCAGGTTGTGATCAGTGTTGAGTTTAATTGTTACTGAAAACCTTCAGGAACGTTTGGAGGGTAATTAGACTTGTTCTGGAAGTTGAAAAGGTTTTAGTGTTTACGCAGTGGTTACACATATATTTTAGTAGATATTCTATGTATGATACACTTTTTTCTACAAATTATACTGAAGGGGGTTTTTTAGAAAAGTATCTGTGTCATGGGGTTGACACATTTGTGGGTTTTTTTCTTGTTTTTTTCGTGAACATGAGCTGAATTTCTGTGAAGTGGAAGGGATAGTTGAAACAGCTTTCTCAAAGGTAGCAAAGTCTTCTTTCTAGGAGAGCCTCTTCAAACAACATTTTGTTGTTTTTTCTCATAAATGTCAAAGTGCCTACAAACAACCTGTCGTTTTCACAGAAAGGGAAAGAAAAGCACAAGCTGAAATCCACAAGCTGGCCTGTGTATTACCAGGTTTTATGAGAGTCAGGAAACAAGACTATTGTTAAGTTTGTCATACCAAGACAGCCAGAAATCCTGCTCTTTGAAAGCTGCACTGTAGTAGCATGTGTCATTTAAAAATATACCTAGAAGTTCTACATGGAAGTTGTTGAATGAAATTTTTTCCTGTGTTCCTGTCCCTCAGAATTAGAAAGAAGGCATTGGAGAAGAGAGAAGAAACAATTATTGTGGATCGGGCTTGCAGACAAGAAACGCTTGCTTATGAGATGGTGAGTTCCTTGTCATCTTGTAGGGCAGTTCAAGACAGTTCAGCGCAATCAAAATCCAATGTCTGGTTACTTATTTTGTCACCACTATGAATCTCTGTACTGTAAATGTTAGCGGATACGAGTTTGTAGGTAATGGTTAAGATTAAAGACATTTTATAGAAAGGTAGGACAGGAATTCTGCTCTTGCAATCTGTTAGTACTAAATGTATTAAGAAGGAACTCCAGCTGGTTACCACTGATTTCATTTGGTTGCTGCTAAAGCAATGTGTAGGGGATCAAGTATACCAAGCATCACGTAGACTTATCATAGAGCTAGACAAAATGCAAAATGTTTTTGCTTATGGAGTCCTGTTTTGGAATCTAAGCTTTAATGTGTGATTGTGAGCTAGTTTCTGTAGGGTTGAAAGAGGGTGACAGTAAGAGCATGGTGGTAGTAGGTTCCTAATTCTGAGCTTTGTAACCTACGTTTCTCAGCCATCCTGAGCCATCAGGAACCAAAAGTATAGTGATCAGCCCCTCAAAAGCCATCTTGGAATTCCTTTAACTATACTTACTACCTCTTTTTGTAAGATTTCTTCACAACTAATGAAGTCCTAAACAGGAAAACTTGTTCTTAAATTTCATACTGCTGGAGTCCATGGCTTGAACAAGCAAACCATGAACTACTGTGAAAATTAGAGATGGAGGTGTAGTGAGGACAGAGCCACATTGTGACCATTAAACATTTTTTCCCCTTGAAGTTTCCTAGTCTGTCATGAGTGGTCTTGTTTCAGCTGTCCAGAGGCCCAGACACATGATGCATCATGCCATCAGCTGAGATGCAACAACCGTGTTGGGCTCTTAGCCCAGGGCATATATGAGAAAATATTTGCAATAGAAATCTTCATAAAGGGTTTCAATGAGTCATGTCTTATTTCCGTTTCTGAAGAACGAGCACGTTATCAGTTACTGTATCCTTTAAGTAAGCTGTGGTAACTGTTTTTTATGTCAGAGCTGGTCATGACTCTGGTGTCCTAGAACTGGATGAGAGCAATAAGAGAGACAAGTTTGAATTGTGTCACATGAAGAAGGGAGATGCAAGGGCTAGAGCACAAGTATCTCAGAACTAAAGTCTCACAGTAGTACATGCTCCTGTTATTAAATCTGAAGAACACTTTGTGCTGGTGGGAAGTGTTTGTGCAGTCAGTATTTTCTCTTAATTTGCTGAAAAAGGAGGAAACTGACTGCCACAGAGGAGTGCCCTACCTCATTCTCACAGCTGGGTTGTGTCTTGAACTCAAAGTAGGATTGAAATCTGGAAATGCTTTCACTTCTTTTCTAAAACATAGTAGAGTGGCAAGGGCAGTGCTGTATTTTGGTTTTGGACTTTGGAGGAATTGAGACCTCCAGCTATGTCAAGCTTCCCTAATAAAACGAAGTGCTGCACTAATTTTTATTTTCATATAGTTCATCCTATGGCTACTTTCTAGGTCAGTCTTTCTCAGTTTGAGAGTTGCAATCCCACTTCACATGTGAAAGAACTCGAAGAGCATTTCAAAGCATTACGTGATGGAAGTTGCTAGCAGTTGGGCTCCATGAGGGCAGAGTGGCAGCAGGCTTTAATTCCTTTATGCAGGGCCTCTCAGTAGCCAAGGAGTAGCTAGCTATCTCATAATTGCTGAAAGCACTTCAGCTTCTCCAGAATTGAGGAATGAAGGAAAATGCTTGAAATCAGTAATTACAGTAGTTTCTGACTTTTCCATCTTGGAGGAAGTAGGCTGTTATCAATTCAGAAGGCTACACAGTCAAAAACGAGTGACAGAACGGCATTTCTCAGACTTTTATCTAGGGTCTATTATATGTATATGTGGTTGCCAATATAATATATGTATATATGTATCTTTATTTTTCAAGGAGTCACATGCAATTGGGAAGAGGCCAGACAATCCAACAGATCTAGTTGAGGAGGGAGAACTGCTTTTAACTCTGAACATCTTCTATCCTGTCATATTTCAGAAGGTTGGTACTAAATTCTCCAAGTTATATTCTGATGTCTCTTCCCTACTCAGTTAATATTGTACTTTCCCAAGCAGTTAAAATTAGTGAGTCCACTGAGAGAGTGTGGTAAACCCTTCAAGTGTGGTAACTTCTGGAGGCTTTTTCAGAATCTGGCTTTCATTCTGTTAGTGGTTTACAGAAGGAAATTTTTACAGTAATTGCTCAATAGTTAATTGGTTTTACAAAAAGCTCAAAATCTGAACCTAAATACATGAAAACTAAAACTTTATGGATTTGGGATAAGCATGCCTCTGTCTTTCCTGCACTTTGCATGGAGGAATGTGACTTTTGAGTTTCTGAATAAAACTAATAAATGGCAGCCTTAGGAGAGGCTATGGCAAAATGGGAGAAAGCAAGTCAAAAGGTGGGAAAGAAAATGGGGAAAAAGATCTTTAAAATCTTGCACAGAGTGATGATATGCCATATGCTGCAATTAATGACCTCAACCTGTCAAATGAAGAGCAGTACTGATGCTGACAAGTGATTTTTATTTGAAGCTTGTATGCTGTTTTCTTTGTAGCATAAAGATCACAAACCCTATCAGACAGTCCTTGTACTGGGCAGCCAGAAGCTCACTGAGCTGAGAGACTCCATTTCCTGCGTCAGTGACCTCCAAATAGGTGGTGAGTTCAGCAGTCAGCCAGATCAAGCACCAGAGCACATCAGCAAGGTAAAACCTTCTAAGTGGAACCCTCTATTTGTGTTAGAGTTTCAGAAACATACAGGAGAGAGATAGAGACAGTGTTTTGTTTTGTTGTTTTTCCTTTATCACTAAATTCAGCTGCATTGGTTCTGCCTGTGGGTTGCACTGCAAGTAAATACTTCCTGGTGGCATTACCAAGATAACCTCTTTTGTGCGATGTCAAGAAAAACATCAGTAGTGCTACCACTGGAAAGTCATAATGCTGACAGTGAGTTCTTGCATCGAAGTACCCCTGTGGACTAATTTTACTTTGAGCTATAAAATCATCAAAGGTAACAAGAAAGCTAAGTGTGGACCGCACCTCTCCGAAATTACAGGCTTTGGTGTTTGCAACTGGGTGCTGATGTAAGGTAGGAATCAAGATTATTCCTTTCTTCTGTAACCTGGAGGTGTTCTCTGAGGATGTGCAAAAGGTGTCAGTAAATCACTGTAGTTGAAACTACTGAAATTGCATCGTTTTGATAATGTTATATCATACATAACATGTATCATATCACAAAATGGTTGAGGTAGGAAGGGATCTCTGGAGATCATTTGGTCCAACCCCCCACCTCAAACAAGACCACCTGCAGCCAGTTGTCCAGGACTTCATCCAGATGGCTTTTGGATATCTTCAAGGATAGAAATTCCACAACCTCACTGGGCAACCTGTGCCAGAGCTTGGACATGCTTGCAGTGGAAAACTGTTTCCTGATGCTCAGAGAGATCCTCCTGTATTTCAGTTTGTGCCCATTGCCTCTGGTCCTGTCACTGGGGACCACTGAAAAGAGCCTGGCTCCGTCCTCTTTATACCCTACCTAGAGGTATTTGTTTATGTTAATAAGATTCCCTCTGAGCCTTCTTTTCTCCAGGCTGAGCAGTCCCAGCTGTCTTAGCCTCTCCTTACAGGAGAGATAGCTGAGTTACTTCATCTTCATGACCCTTATGAGACTCTCTCTCTGGCATGTCCACGTCTCTGTTGTCCTGTGGAGCCTTGAACTGGACACGGGACTCCAGGTGTGGCTTCATAGTGCTGAGTAGATGGCAAGGATCACCTCCTTCAGCCTGCTGGCAATACTTTGTCTAATGCAGCACAGGATCCTATTTGCTGTCTTTGTTGCAAGGGCATATTGGTGGCTTATGGTCAACTTGATGTCCACCAGGATCCCCAGATGCTTTTCTGCCAAGCTGCTTTCCAGATGAGTGGCCTACAGCATATATTTGTGCGTGGGGTTGTTCTTGCCCACGTGCAGGACCTTGCACTTCTCCTTATTGAACTTCTTGAAGTTTCTGTTGTCTAATTTCTCCAGCCTGTCAAGACCCCTCTGGGTGGCAGCTTGGT